GCGAGGGCAGAATGGAGCGCGGCACCGCTTTCCACGGCTATGGTGCGAGCTGCGGCTCGCACGTCTCGGTCCACCTCACCGGTCGCGGAGATGGGGAAGGCGACAGGGAACGGCGGTAATGTGGTCGTCATCGTGGCGAAAGCGCCCCCATGAAAGTTGCCATGAAAGGTCGTGAGCTTCCCTGGGCTCGTCCGGAGATCTTGAAGCGGCGGCCCACCCGCAGTGAGGCGGAAGCCATCCTCGGCCACCTCGCCGAGGGCCCTCGTGCACGCCTCACTGCCCTCGGCCGCCTCACCGACTGAATCAGCGCCGCCGAAGATGCCGCACTTTATCGTCTCAAGGACGACAACCCCGTCGCCTCGCACGGTCCACCCAATGCGACGCGCAGCCTCGCTGTCGATAGCCGTCTTGCGCACTAGCAGCTCGAGCGGCGAGCCCGCGGCGGCGCGCTCATGCTTGGCTCTCTTGTCCTCCGCCGCCAGCTGGAAGCTGTACAGCGCCGGAGGGGCCAGGACGTCTTCGATCGCAAACAAAGCAGAGTGGACAGCCCCTTGGCGCCCGATCGTCACACAAGCTTGGAGAGCGTGCCCCCACGCCGCGAGGTGCAGCGTTGTGCTTGATGGGCGGTGATGCAGCAGCAGCACCGGCCCGTCGATGAGGTACCTACACATCGTGCCGCGCCGCCCGAGCGTCTCCACGATTCGCAAGGACCAGCTTGGGATCTCCCCTTCCAGAAGCGTGGGCCATGCCGAGCCAAGCCTCTCCATTCGCGCCTCTGCCGCGGCGCGGACGCGTTGTGCCATGAAGCGGGCGCTGAGCGCCGACGCCGCGAGCTGCCGGGCGTCGAGCCACAGGAGAACCTGAGTCAGGATCTCGTCCGGCAGCGTGGTCAGATCCATATCGCGCCGCGACGGGGAGCAAGTTCGGAGGGCCCGGGGGTCAAAGATTTTTTTTGCCGCAGGTCTCTTTTCCTGGTGTAGCTTTCTGGGAGAAAAGAGAGAAACACAACCCCTCTCTTTCTTCTCTCTCTCAGTGTACGTACTTTTAGCTTACTGGGAGACAAGGGAGAGTGAGGCGCGATTTCTAGGCCCTTGGGGGCCCTACCAATGTAGCTCTTACGTACATTCCCGTAGGA